TAAAATATATATCTTAGGATCCTACTTAAGATTTATTAAAACAAAATTTCCTGAACTTTCATGAATAGAAATATTTTTTAAAAGTTCCCACTGCACAAGAAACCATGCCCAGTTGTGTTGCTCCTTTTGCATTCACCTGTCAGTTCAGTGGACTGAGCATAGTCTGAGGACAGGAGTCATGCCCTGGCTCTGTTCTGAACCCTCCATGTCCAGCACTGTTCAAAAGATACAGTTACAAATGAATGTGTGTTATGCTCATGATCAGTTTCCCAGGATAAACAAACAGTTTCCTCTGACATCTTGCAGAACTAATTATTTTTTAATCTGGCTGTATTTAGATTTTAAATTAGGCCTCAGAGGTGAAAGGCCAGCACATTACTGGCAGCATATTTTTCTCATAGGCAGCACTCTCCTCTGAGTTATTGTCCCAGGGAAGCCCATTGCATTAGGGCAGCAATATCAGCATCCTGAATAGATCCTAATCTATATTGTGACAATCACTCTTCCTGCCCTGCTTAGACAACACAGCAGCTGATACTGGTACGATACACTGTTAAGTTCATTGAGTTTGAGGTTTAAGTGAAAATTATTAATGAAATTGTTTATATCTGGTAAATTTTCTAATAGGATTCTATCTAGAATTAATGTTTTTATAAAGCACTTTTTAAAACAATTTCTTGGTATGTGTCACATTTCTTTTTTCTTTTTTTTTTTTTTGAGACTTTAGTGTTCCACATGGCTTCAAGTTTTATTTAATCAGAACTCCATGATTATTACTGGCAAATAAGTATCATTTTAATATTGCCAATTCTTCTGTGTGTGAATCTTTCATGCATAAGGCTGACTTGGAGACTTTGATTTAAGACCTAGCATAATTACTAGGGTTAACAAAAATTCAAGGAAAGAATTGTGCATGGGTTAGATATTAAAGGTATAGTTAGCTGTACAAAAAAGCATTTGTCATAGTGAATAAAACTAAATAACTAAACATTTGACAGGATACATAATTTTGGCTGAGCTATTTCAATCATAATTTATAATTATGATTATATAAAAGTTTTGGGAATTTCCAAGATTGCCCAAATATATATGATGAGATTACATGTGATTATTTTGCACGCAATGTCTGAAGATAGTTGCAGCCTTAATGCTTAGATTTTGGTGAGTAGCACTGTGACTGTGCCATCTCTACTATAAATGTAGTTCTGGAGCAGAAAGAAACTTAACAACTACTTAGCCTTAGTTTTCCCAAGGAGAAATAAGTAGCTTTCTGTGAGTTGTGAGTTTATAATATAATGAAAAGCATATTTTTGATCATCTTTTTAAAGATAACCTTTGGGTATTTGTTTGTGATTAATCAGTGTCAATGAGGAAAACTATATTTCTACTCTTAAGAGTTCAGGCTGTTTTGCATCTCAGAATCCTTCAAAGCATGGATAACCAAGGGAAAATATATCTATGGTTTTTTTTTTTTTTTTAAAGAACTAGGGATTTTCAGCCTCAATGAAAATTTGAAAGGCTAGCCCATAAAAAAGAGATTTGGTTCCTTCAGCATAATTCCAGATGGAAGGAGGCAGGTCAATGGAAAAAGGTTTCAAGAGAGAGATTTTTGAATAAGTTTCAGGAAAATCTTGTTAATAAACTAAATGCCACAATGACTGAGTTGTCATGGGGACATGTCATGACTGTTCTGTCCTGGTCATTTTTAAACTTAGGTTAATACCCGTTAGGCATATTTTATAAGGAGAGGAAAACCTACACTAAATCAACAGTAGATGGCTATTTGAAAGATGAGCATCTGTAAATCTAATTTCTTCTCTGTTCTTGATCTCATTTATGAGGTGTGATGCCTGCTGTGGCAGTAGATTCTGTTAAATATTATATTGATGGCTAAGCACTGACTTGAAGTTTAACTCATTTCCTCTTTTCTTATTTTAATTGCATTTTAAATCTCAGTTGATGTGATTATGTTCACAGCAATGCGGCTGTGCCTTTTTTGTAAAAGGAAGGTTCCTGTGGAAAGCAACTATTTGTCCTGCTGGTATTTGTAGAACACCTTCTGTGTGTTAGCATCAGAAGCAGGGTCAAAATGTCAGTCTTCTTTATGTCATTGTGCCCTTGTTTCCTTTCTTTTATCCTGTGATCTCTGTAATCCTGTAGCCCTAACAACAAATCATGCTAAAATGGAAAGTGCTAACCAATTAGAAGCAAATACCCAGGGATCATCTAACAAATAACCAGAGGTATAAATTCCATTATATTATAAACTCACAATTTGTCCCATGAGAAAAGCATATGAGTTGAATAAATATTGTTCTTTGCAAGTCCTTTGTGGGCAGAATTGAGGCTAGTTACTATGTCTTTTTGGCTATTTCTTGGACCCGGCCAGAATTCCTGCAAGAGTTACCCATTTTTGTTTCAAGAATGAGGTTAGTAAAATTACTTATACTATTGTTCGTCTAGATCAACTTCCCAAATGGAGCTCATAACCAAATAGTAATAGCAGAAAAGTTAGAGTAAATGAAAAATGAGGAATAAACAGAGCTATAAAAGCAAAATCCATTGTTGCTACTTTGTAGCATAATTAGGTCTTATTTTCTGACCAGACTATATTAATACATTTGTACTTTTCCTTTTTAAATACTATGATTTTTACTAGGCCATGTGTTATGGCATTCTATCCTCTAAAAAGGCAACATTGCCTGACATCTACAGCCTTGTATGTAGCTTGGCATTTCTATGCTGTAATCTCAAATGCATTTTGGGGTAGTGAAATGTCATCCAGTGAATGTTTGTTCCTAAACATCCTATAAGTTCTCAATCATTTTTTCTTGATAATGACATATGATAATGGGCATGTTGACAATGAGAGAACTGGCCTCTTTCCCACTGTGTGTCACATGTACATGGTACTGCTCCTTTTATCCCAGTGGGTGTTGGCCACAGACAACTGTAGGAAAGGACAGGGCCACATGCATTATTTCAGCTTTGTAAACTCTTCTTTCTTGGCTTCATCTTCTATTTAAAAATTGGCATAAACCTGGGGCTGGAGTTGTGGCTTACAGGTAGAGCCCTCGTCTAGCATGTTTGAGGCAGTGGGTTTGATCCTCAGTACCACATAAAAATAAAATAAAGATATTGTGCCCACCTATAACTAAAAAAATAAATATTAAAAAAAATGGCATAAACCCAAAGTTGCCTGGGGAGTCTACCAAATGCCCTAGACATGCTCAATAAAACGGAGGCAAACCTCAACTCTGACTTCCAAACGTGGAACAACGATCACACAGACCAGACTCCATTTGAAAAATTCTACGTTATCCTCTTTTATATATTGAGCTTTCAAATCAATTGTCCTGTGTACGGGATGTTTAGATTTCATTTTAGGTTAACAGTAGCAATTTAATAGAATGTGTAAAATAAGCACTCTCTATACTCAAAGGCATTTACAGTGTGTAGAGAACAAGTCTGATAAACACTTCAGCCAGAAGAGTTCTCCTGTGGAGTATTGTTTTTGGGAAAAACAACAAAGGTTGCTGTTTGTGTTAGGGTGCCACCTTTTAGCATCTGGAAGAAAATCACTCCATTATAGATGTGGGATTAAATTCATCCCTCTGGGGGTCTGTGGCTCAAGAAGTGAAGCAAAGGGGTGATGTACCAACTCCTAACATGCCTCAGCAGTTGCAGCTGTTAAATTGGGGTAAAGGATGCAATGTGCTTCAGCCCTCTGCCTTCTGATTGACTGGATTGATAAGACACTGTTGACAAAAGCTTTTCAGTTCTAATTTATAGTGACATTCGTTTTCCCCTCTCTGCAGTGACTGTTGAAAAGGATTTTGAGGACTTTATTGAACTCTTTACTGGAGCATTCCATGTAGTTATCGAGGCCTTTTCTAGGCAACTTGGACAGCAAGAACCAAAATGGCAGTCATTATGTACCTCCTTTATGTACTAAGTGCAGCACTTTCAGCCAGTCACTACAGTCAGTCATTAGCATAAAAATTCCTGAAGTGTAATAAGCAATGACTTAAGTTCTATAATATGCAATAAATATGTTCATGAGCAATCTTTCTCTTAGGAAGGAGCAGTTTCACCTCTAAATGACCAGTATTGGTACAATTAGGCCTGTGTGCAGTTGAAGTTGCTGTTCTCAAAAAAGAAATATTGAACTGATGTCTTCATTGAACATTCAAAAAAAAAAAAAAAAAAAACAGAGAGTGGACAGATCTGTTTCATATATCATTGATGCTCTTGGCTTGGACATGTTCTCTTCATTGGGTCTGTTTTGCAAGCCTAAATTTGAGCCCATAGAGTTTCTTTATATAAATGTCTTAAGTATTGCAGTGGCACATCCATCACCCCTTTGCATTTGAATTACAAAGATAACCTTAAGATAGCAACCTTATACTGGGCAGTGTGATACATACACAGAAATGGTGAGGCTCCTTAGTGATGAAATCAGCCAATGCCCAAGAGGAAAGTAGTAGGCAAAAAGGATAGAGTTGATGAAAAAATTGATTCTTTTCCATTAAACTGCAGCATACGTGATGTGTTTTTTATGAAACAGGCATCAACTGAAAGAGAAATATTTTTTCAACTAAAAAGAGATTGATGGTGAGGGAGAGAGAAAGTATGTAAGGGATCAGGGGATAAATTCGTGTCTTCTTCTATTACCATCTCGAATAATGAGAAAGTTGAAAAGCATTCCATTGGAATTACTTCAAATGTTTACTTGGACCTAGTGGTATTAAAATGTTTTTAATGTTGGGCTGGGAGGAAGAGCACTCGCCTAGTATGCAAGAAGCACTGGGTTGGATCCTCAGCACCACATAAAAATAAAATAAAGGTTTTGTGTCCACCTAGAACTAAAAAAAGAGAAGAAAAGAAAAGAAAAATTGTTAAAAATATTTTTAATATTAATAATGGCTTTTAAAAAAATACATTTGGAATTTACACATCATTGCTTTCTCAATTCTAGAACTCACATTGCTTATTTTCAGGTTTACCAAAGATGCAGGTCATTAGGAACTACACTGGAACACCACCCCCAGCTCTTCATGAAGGACCCCCGTTACATATCCAGGCAGGGGATACCGTTGAACTTCTGAGAGGAGATGCACACAGTCGGTTTTGGCAGGTACTATCAAAATTATAACTTTTTTTAATTTAATGGATGATTCATAACTGCATGAAGAATAAAGCTGTTATCTTTAGAAACTGATTGCATGCTTTCAGATTCAGAAATCTTACATACTATGGAGATTTTTTTTATTAGCCTTCCTCATATTTACCAATACCAAAGTGGCAGTGAGTGTTAGAAAGCTAAAGGAAAATAGTGTCAATGCTGTTAGTCATAATTATCATTTTTATTAAAAATTCATACCTTGCTAGAGCAGATTTTCCAAACTCAGTACCTGTGGGCATGATATAATTTGCATGGCTTTAATATATTAACAGTTTACTTCAGGGAAACTACCTAATTAGCTTGCCAGTGGCCATTTCTGGCCATATTTGATTCTTTGCCTACCCACAGTACCTGAGGTTCTCAGAGGTTGCCCTGGGCATTTTTCATGAAATATATGAAATATGAAAAAGTAAGTGGTTATGTTGATGTTTGCTAGTGGTAAAATCCATCTTACCAGTAAGCCTACATTTGATTTAAGCATTTTTTAAATTGCGATAAATATGCTATAATGTTAAGCTTTGATGAAGCTGGATAATAGAAGCTGCTGTTCATTAAAGTATTCTCTATTTTCTTATGTGTTTCAAAATATTCCCCAGCAAATCTAAAGGATTTGTTGAATATCTATTGTGCATTGAGGGAAGAGGTGGGTAAGGATCAATAGGAAGATTAGCATGTGAATGAAATTTGGTTAAGGGTAAAGGGAGAGAAGGCAGAGAACTATGGGATAATATCCCACTGTGCACACATGTAAGCAAGAGCTTTCACTGGCATAGAATATTTTACTGTCTCTCATCTCATTACATGAGAATGCTCTAAGATTGAACATTTATCTACAACCATCATTTCAACTGCTATAGGCAATGAGTTTTCCAAAGCTCCAATATTTTTCTTAACTATCATACTCCTTTCATATGTCATCCTTCTCAAAAGAAAGAATAACAGAAAAATTCTACTAACTCATGCATCCCTCAACATAACCGCAGGATATACCTATATTCTTACCCATACGCTCTTATTATTCAATACTTGCCTTTCTTCTTGGATTTTCCATCTCACATTTTCAATTTCATTTTCCCCCTGCCCAATAGCTCCTTTTCTATGGTATATAGATATGCTCAAGCTCCTCACCACTGAAAACATGTATAACTCAGTCTTTGGTTCTATGAGGTTCCCTCATTCCTTCTCACCCTCTTGTTCTCCCATAGCAAAGCTGCACTTGTTAGGGGAGTCGAGTGTTCTGTCTCTTCCCCTCTATGTTATATTCATAATCGAGTGTCTTGCAGAAACTACTCTTATTTGGCTCACTGCTACCACTTAAAACATATATATATAATCTTTGAGATATATGCCCACTTATACATATTTAAAATGTTCAACTTGATAAGTTTTGACAAACGTGTATACAAGTAAAACCACCATTACAGTCAAGATAATACATGTACTCACTGGTCCCAAACTTCTTTTTTTAAAAATATTTTTGTAGTTGTAGATGGACACAATACCTTTATTTTTTACTTATTAATTTTTATATGGTGTTGAGGATCAAACCCAGTGCCTCACACTTGCAGCCACTGAGCCACAATCCCAGCCCCACCCAAACTTCTTTTTAATAAATTTTTTATTTGTTCTAATTAATTATACATGACAGTAGAATGCATTTATGCACTTTGATATATCATACATAAATAGAGTGTAATTTCTCATTTTTTTCTGACTGTACATGTAGAATCACATCAGTCATGCAGTCACATATGTACATAGGTTAATAATGTCTGTTTCATTCTAAGATCCTTCCTATCCCCATTCCCCTTTGCCTCCCTTCACTCTCCTGTATATAATCTAAAGTTCTGTTCTTTTGTAGCACCCCCCACCCCCGCATTGTGTATTAGCATCTACATATCAGAGAAAACATTGTGCCATTGGTTTTTTGGGATTGGCTTATTTCACTTAGCATGATGTTCTCTAACTCCGTCCATTTACTAGCAAATGCTATAATTTCATTCTTCTTTAAAGCTGAGTAATATTTTTGTGACCCTTCATGGTCCTTCCTTCATACCCTCATTTATTACCCTACCCTTCCAACTCCAAGGCAAAAGGTACAACTCCAAGGTAAAACCATTGCCATTGTTCTGCTTTCGGATTATGGATAAGTTTTTACCTTTTAGAATTTTACATAATGTGTATTCTTTTTTGTATGTCTTTCACTCAAAATTATTTTCTTAAGATTTAATCATGTTCTTTCTTTTCATTGCTGGTTATTATACCATGTATAGATATAGCACAATTTGTTTATTCTCTTACCAATGGATTTTCTGGTTGTTAGTGGTATTTGGTTGTTACAAATAAAGTGTTTGTGAACATTCAAGTATAAGTCTTTGTATGGTTGTCTGCTTTCATTTTTCTTAGCTAAATTTCAAGAGGGGAAATGATGGATCATACATAGATATATGAATATATTACTAAATAGATTTTACTAAACCTGATTTTGAAAGTCACTGTGCCATGCTGTATTTTCACCAGCTGTAGAGGAAAATTTAAGGTGATCCATAACTGGTCCCACATTGTGTATGGTCAGTCTTTTTCATTTTTTTCTGGTCTAATTGCTATATAGTAGTATCCCATGGTGTTTTTTATTTGCATTTCCCTAATAACTAAATAATTATGAACATTTTTTCATATATCATCCATCTACCTTTAGTGGTGAATACTTATTCCAGTATTTCATCAAAAACAAATCCTTAACAGATTTTGTTTTCTAAATATTGAGAGTTCCTTATATATTTTAGGTCTAAATCATTTTCGCATAAAATGTGTTATTTTTATATATTTTATTCTAATCTGTGGTTTCTATTTTTATTACCATTGTTATACATAGAACAAAAGTTTTTATTTTTGATATAGTCACTTTGTCAATTTTTTTTTATTATGCAATAGGTGTTTTATTTAAGAAATCTTTTGAGTTTGGGAACATAGCTCAGTGGTAGGCTTACCTAGCCTGTGCAAGGCCCTGGGTTTGATTCCCTAGAACTGCATTAAAAAACAAAGCAAAACAAAACTTCACCTCTCTCAAAGTTAAAAAAAATACTCTTCTATGTTTTCTCCTAGATATTTTATAGTTGTAGTTTTTACATTTAGGTTTATGATGCATCTTGAGTTATTTTTGTATATGATGAGTGGTGTTCATATTGTTTTAAATATGGATAGCCAGGTATTATGGCAACATTTGTTGAAAAATCAATTATTTATCTACTGGGTTGCCTCTGCACTTTATACATAAATGAGTTGACCGTATATGCAGGTATATTTCTGTAGTCTCTATCCATCTCTTTTCCAGTGTGCTGCTACCTGCCTTGCTTATTGTAGTTTATAAGTCAGCTTGTATTAGTCTTCCAAATTAATTCTGTTCTTTTGTTTTTTTTAATGTTTTGGCTATCCTTAATCCTCTCCATTTAAAACGAATTTTAGAATCACCTCATCAGTTTCACCAATCAACACCTGCTGGGATTTTGGTTAGAATCGTATTGAATTATAGATTAGTATAGAATTGATAATATTGAGTCATCTGATTACTGGACTTGATATACTCTATTTAGGTCTTCTGTAATTTCTTAGCAGTGTTTAGTAGTTGTCAGAGTTCCACTCATACATGTCTTTTATTGTATGTGTAAACACTTCACTTTGATGCTATTGTAAATTACAGTTTTAAAATTTCAGTGTATTATTTATCAGGAATATATAGAAATATAGTTGTATATTGATGTTTTTTCATCTTGTAACTCTTGTTGAACTCACTTATTCTTGTAGCTTTTCTTCTCCAGGTCCCAACACACATTTTATATAAATAATTATATTGCCAATTAGTAAATATGGTTTTACTTCTTTCTTTGCAATCTGGATGGCTTTTTTTTTTCTCTTATCAATGACAATGTCTAGAACATAAGTAAAATGTTAGATAGAAGTGGTGAGAGAATGCACCCTTGCACTATTCCTGATATTAGGGGAAAGTTTTAAGTCCAGTACCATTGAATATGATGTTACCTCTAGTATTTAACAAATGTCCTTTGTAAAGTCAAGGAATTTCTTTCTTCATCCTAGTTTGCTGAGTTTTTATCAGTAATGCATGATACGTTTTGTCAAATGCTTCTTCTATATTAATTGAAATTATTTTATTACTTTTTATTTATTAATATGGTAAATTTAATGGATTTTCATATATTAAATCAATCTTCTGAAACAAGCCCCTGCATTATACTTTTTATACATTTGTTTTATTTTATTGATTTTTTTTTGGTCTGGCTTGGGTAATAATGTAATATTCAAAGATGCAGAAATGGGAACAATTTCTTTCTTTTTAGTTTTTTTAAAAGCAGTTTTACAGAATTGCATAATTTTTTCCTGACATGTTTTATGTAATCCACCAGGAAATATCTCTAGGTCTTAAAGTCTCTTTAATAGGAAAGTTTCCTTAAACTACTGTTTCAATTCCTTTAATAAATATAGAGTCATCCAGGTTATCTATTCTTCTTGAGTGAGTTTGGATAGTTTGTTTTTCAAGGAATTTTACCACTTTGTCTAAATTGTCAAATTTAATGGCCTACAGTTGTTCATGGTTTTCCTTCATTTGCCTTTTAGTATCTATTTTCTGTAGTAGTGTTATCCTTCTCATTCCTGATATTATCAACATGTGTTTTCCTTCTTGAACTCCTTTTCCTGATCAACCTGACTAGATGGATAGGAATTTTATTAATCTTCCCCAAAAAACAGCTTTTGGTTTCACCTCTTCTCTCTATTGTTTTTTTTTTTCCTGTATCATTGATTTTTGCTCTGGTCTTTATAACTTTCTTTATTCTCTTCTTTTGGGCTTAATTTGCATTTCTTTCCCTAGTTTCTTAGGGCAAAGTGTTTTAACTCATTGATCCTTTTTCTAATATAGGCAGTTAGTATATAAATTT